ATACTACTCTTTAAAAAAAACAATGTTCCAAAATATTTCTATTTTAAATAAATGCTGTTCTTTTGAAATTTCTATTTAAAGAATAAAAGTAAAAAGATATAATAATAAAATAAATAAAAAATTAAATGTTAAAAAATTAAAAACTGTTTTTAATATTGATAATAACAGAATGATACTTCTTGAAATGTCTTTTCAAAGAATAAAAGTAAAAAAAAAAGTATCACAGTTTTTACAAAAGGATAAAACTGTATTAATATATAATATCAGAATGATTTCTTAAGGTTCGTGTGGCATTGAAGACTGGAGTAATGATGCTGAAAATTCAGCTTTGCCATCATAGGAATACATTAAATTTCAAAACATATTCAAAAAGAAAACAGTCATTTTAAATTTCACAATATTACTGTTTTAACTGTATTTTTAATCAAATAAATGCAGCCTTGGTGAGCATAAGAGACTTCTTTCAAAACCATTAAAAAAAATCTTACCAAACCTATATTTTTAAACAGTAGTGTACATATATTTCACACAGTAAACATAAAAAGTGTTTGATCATTCAACTCTTTATTTAGTTTATTATATTTTTCTAGTATTAGATTGAAATAATTGGTGTAGGTCAAACAAATGCATAAAAGCACAATAAAATATTAAAAACTACATAAAAATACATTTGAAAAGTAAAAAAATGGGTTTTAATGTGACCCTCTGCTGGTTTTAAGAAGAAACAACCTAAGGGACATAAAGTTAAAGAAACACCCAGTAACAAAACAGTCAAAACTTCGCTAAGAAACTCTGCTCACAAGAAAGCACCACAAACAGCCTTTAAAATGAGCCACAACCTCCATTAAACTTCCACTCTTTCGACAGCTTGATAACAGACCTCTGGCAAAATTAATCGAGGCCTCTGCAGTTGCACCCTGTATTACATGCGGCTCTGAAAGTGCTGAATCACTTTGATGCAACAACATTTTCAGCTTGCAAGCCAGCGCCCAATGCCATCCACAGCAAACTCATCTGTCAGCAGCCCGTCTCTCTCACTCATTCGGTGCCTGCCCAATGAATGCTAACATGGCATTTAAAAAGAGATGTGTATGCCAAGGGACTTGTATCTAGGATAAGCGTGTGCTAGTGGTGTAGCAAGAAATTGAGGTTATACATGAATATCTCCATATCTCTTCAGCAGCAGCCCAATGAGCTTTGGGACACTCCTGCACTGCAGGCCTCGGCTGCTCTGTATGTTGCTTAAAACATATTGTGATTATAACCAGTTAGAGAACACGACCCCCAGCGGATTCATTTGCAAAATTCCAAGTAACAATTTGCTAATCCCCTCATCCATATTAATAACAACGCAGAGGACTAATCAAGGAGATTTAAATGTGCAGCGGGATCGGTGACGGTGCAAGAGTGGAGAGACTTCAGCCATTCTCAGCTTTATTTCACAGCGGTTTGAGGCTCGCATGATTGAGTGACTCTCATGGGCGTCTCTCTCAGTGTTATAAAAACAGAGATACAATCTCGGAGGGAGAGCGAGAGGAGACTTGTTGAATCTGAAATGAAGTCATCAGACTTTTCTAGCCAAGCTATCTTTATGTTTTGCCTCTGATTTTCACTAGCAGGTTTGGGAAAGACTCTAAATTTTACCTTTGGTTTACTTTCAGTTCATTTATTGGATTGTACAATTGAATTTCAACAGGGTGTTGAATTGGAATATTAATTGGAATGACAAAGAGGAATTTACTGCATTGCGGTAAAAGGAAATTCAACAAGAGGAAACAATACAAAACATGATTACAAAAATCTTTTCAGCTTTTCCTTCAGCTTTTCATTATTTTTTATTCTGATATGCAAAATATTTGTCTAAACTAGGTTCAATTCTGTGTGAAATTAACATTCAAATTCCTTTGAATCTACTTAGCATCTTAACATATACAGTCTATACAGTATAAAAATTAAATACCGGTGGTATTAATGTTTCTGAAAGCTACTGTTCAGTAGGTTTTTAAAAAAAGAAATTAATACTTTTATGCATCAAGGAAACATTAAATTGATCGAAAGTGACAGTAAAGTTAAAAAAAATATATTTAAAATGCATTTCTTTCTATTCATCAAAGAATCCTGAAAAAAATGTATCATCGGTTCCACAAGCATATTAAGTGTTTCAACATTTATGATAATAATAAATGTTTCTTGAGCTCCAAATCACCTTTTTAAATGCTTTCTGAAGAATCATGTGACACTGAAGACTAGAGTAATGGCAGCTGGAAATTCAGCTTTGCCATCACAGGAATAAATTACATTTGAATATATTTTAAAATAGAAAACAGCTCATTTAAATTCTAATAACATTTACCAATCCTATTGTTTTTACTCTATTTTTGATCAAAATGCAGCTTTGGTGAGCATAAGAGACTTTCAAAAGCTCTTTCAAATCTTACTGACCACAAACTTTTGAATTGCAGTGCACGATAACTTGGGCTTATGGGTAATTCATACTAAAAATATACATAAACTACACTTCCAACAGCTTTATACATTTATTCACACCTTCATTCTTTAATTCTGCTTTTTTAGATTCAAATTTTGAATTACAAATCTGCATCCTGTTTGCTACCTCAATTCAAATTCCAAAAGTGAATCTGCATTCAAATCAATTCCAAAAGCAGTGAATTTCCGAATAGTCTCGGGTTGAGGGGCACAGCACAACATTCATCATCAGTTGCAAAATAAATTCATTTCCCACTATTCCACCATCTATTTTTAAAACCAACACTTAAAAAATTCAGGATATCTACACTTACCAAATGCATTTGTAGTCTTTGGAGAGTCTAAGCGCATGGAAAACTTGTTCTCTCCATCTCTCTAAAACCATTCAGCTCTAGCCACGCTTCAGTTTAATGCTTCAGTTTCAATCCTTTGTTTTAATTGATTTTTATTATTCATAAACAACTCATGAGCATTAATTCTTTGCATAAACCAAGACATACACTTAGTGATGTAGTGTTCTAATTATTAGTATTCCCTCAAATCATATAAATGCCATTTATCCAACATGTCTGAAATACAAAATAATTTAAGTGCAATGCGAATGGTCATATTAAAGCCATTATAAAAAGAGTGTATCATGCAAGTTTTATAGTGAGTAATTCTGATTGCGTAAGACTCAGGCATTGAGCAAGTCAAGAATGGCCAATGGATCAAATCTAAAAAATGCAACTTTCTCACTCTCTCTGTATTTCCGCTTTTAATATTTAGTCACTTTCCTCCGGCATCATTCTATGTCTGATGTATGTGAAGTATTTTGTGACAGTAGCTCCTAATCCCACTCTTGGCAGTAAGTGATTTTCTAAGGAAGCATTATGAGACGTGCCACCATCTCAACCGCAAAACCATCACACCGAGCTCGGCAGGAGCATCACAGTCTGCGCCTAATCTGTCTTCAGATGGATGGTTTAATACGGCAGTCCAAAGAGCCCGTGCCTACGGCGTGGAGCTACATCAGAACGTGGGCACGAGGCCCCAAAGCCGTCATGCTAAATGCTAACCGCTTCTGAAGATGGGTTTGGTGTGCTTAGAGCTCCGTACTGAGAGATTATACAGGGAATTTATTTCAACACCCTCTGAGATGTTTTTACCTCTAGCATGAAAATGAGCGTTGCTTCAAAACGGATCTCAACTAACATAAAAGGGACGCTGGGTATGTGTAACAAGTCATAAATGAACATGCGAGCGATTTGTTCGCCTTGTCACATAACCGGAGAACCAGTCGCAATTGATGTACTGGCACATAATGTACACTATCAGTTAAATGTCTGGACATGCCAGTCTTGTTGTTAAACAAAAATGTTAAAAAGTTAAATCAAAACAAAAAGCTTTTATTTTAGCTTTATCAAAGTATTTAAACTTTGAATAGATATGCTTTTCATTATACATTAAATTTTTTAACCAATTTATTATTTTTGTATAGAAATTCATATGGGTACACAATTTTATCTGTCTAGAACTAATTTCATTACTAAAGTCTTTAAGCAGAAATCTCTAGATACAAATGCTTTAATAATCATGGAACAAAAGTAAATTCAGTCAAATGACCAGTAGAGTATGCTAAATAATGTCTTGTAAATGATATTGTTGACTGCAAAAAAGGAAAACCAAAACCACTTCTTTGTTTAATACTGTCACTAAAACAGTGTTGTTAATGTTAACTAAAACAAACTATTCAAAATAATTGTCATTAATTAAAATAAAGCTGATAAAAAAGGAAACAAATATTAGACAAAAAAAAACATAAGCTTAAAATACTTAAACTGAAATGATAAGTATACGTTTAGGTTGAAGTACTAAAATTATTAAATCTTAAATTGAAATTAAAATAATTAATGAAAGCTAAATAGAAATATAAAAAAAAATACTATTAAAATGAGAAAAGCATATAAAAGTACTAAAATTCAAATGAAAATAAAAAGTAAAAGCAAATTAAAAATCTGAATAAATACTATGATTGTATATTAATAATAAAACTGGTAACTACATCTAAAATCGTCACAATCTTGTTTAAGAAAAATAAGGCTTCACAGAGCTAGAAACATTGGAAAGCTAAGCTAAGCTAGCATGAAACAGATATTTTCACATAGCTTTCACACTAAACAACAGCCATTTTGAGGAGAAGTACCTACTAATGTTGAGTTTCATTAACACTTTTGAGATGCAGGTGTATGTCGTCACACAAAAATGAAGGCAGCCATACACTCACTTCTAAGCAAATAAAATGCACAGATGAGACAAAATTTGTAAATTTCATTATAATAAAGCCCTTTTAGAAAACATTAGCAATAGGCACATAAAACGGTAATTATTTCCTGTCAATAATCGTACACTTGCAAAAACGCAATTTTGTTATATGTCACTTTTCGAGCATCATACTAAACCACACCTTCGAATAAAACCCAGCATATTTTACACCAGAACTGCAGTGACAAATCAGACGTTGTGCTTTGTACCTGGAATACTCTGTCTCCTAATTGCCAGAGCGCCATCTGGTGGCCTGGAGGGATTGGAGTGTTTAGTGTAGGGCCCCTCATCTGAAAAACACAAGAAAACCAAGACATTTGAAAACCACACAATGGTTTTCATTAGCAAAACCTTGTCCTTATTTTCCCATGCAAGCAACATGTACACAAATTCAAAGCCGCTGGAGTGGGCGTTCTTCACAGGAAATGATAGCTGTCACATATACACAGCTATTACAATGGCCAACACGCTCTCCAAGAGGCGTAGCCTTCAATAACAATCATTTGAACACGAAGCTGTCAGCTTTTCACGCACATGCTCAAATGTAATAAAAAGGCACACAGACATACTCCTACATGTTGAGCAGAGAACAGTGGCCTCCCATCTGTGATATACGGTGAGTGCATCAGCAGCTTCAGCTGTGGCCATCCGATTGTGTGCTCAGATTTAGAGCCGTGGAATACCGAGCAAAGACAGCGGGAGTCCCGTCATAATGGAGCCCTTAAAGAACAGCAGGACGGCACACTGAGCACTGTTTACTTTGACTGCAGTAGCAAACGCAGCCAGACTCAACAGCAGATCACACATATGTGGAGAAGCGTGTAGGTGTCCAAGAGACTGGATGGAAATTTATACAGCGGGAAAAAGATGACAATTATAAACATACTGTATACCATCATTTCTGAACATAAGTGAGTTGCAATCTGCTTGGTGAGGCATGCGATTACTCTTGTTCACACTAAGGGTGAGGAATCACAAACCCTTAATTATAAGTATTAATGCACTACACATTTAGTATGGAGTTAAGTAGTTTGAAGCACTTAAATCAGAAGTTAACTTATGACACAACTGAATATATTGGCTTTCTAGTACTGTTAGTGCACCGTTGTATCTGATAATGTGTCTTGACTGCAGTATGAATATGTAAATTATATGCAGATGAGGTCCTGCACAATGACCTTAAAGGGATACTCCACCCCAAAACGAAAATTTTGTCATTAATCACTTACCCCATGTTGTTCCAAACCCGTAAAAGCTTTGTTCGTCTTCGGAACACAATTTAAGATATTCTGAATGAAAGCCGGGAGGCTTGTGACTGTCACATTTACTGCCAAGTAAATGACACTGTCAAGGTCCAGAAAAGTATGAAAAGCATCGTCAGAATAGTCCATCTGCCATTAGAGAGAAGTGGAGAAAATCTACTGAATGCAAGCAGCGTACGCTCTTCTGTGTCAGCCGCGCCACACAGATGCGCTGTTTTTGTTCAAATCAAAGCGTAAATACACGTAGAAAACGTATCCTTGTGTCACGGCTGACACAGAATAGCGTACGCTGCTTGCGTTCAGTGGATATTCTCCAAAATGGCGCTACGGTGATGCGGAGAGACACAGAGGAGACAAATTGTTGAATAAAGTCGTTATTTTTGTTTTCTTCGCGTACAAAAAGTATTCTAATCGCTTCATAAAATTCAGATTGAACCACTGATGGCAGATGGACTATTCTGATGATGCTTTTCATACTTTTCTGGACCTTGACAGTGTCATTTACTTGGCAGTCAATGTGACGGTCACAAGCCTCCCGGTTTTCATCCAAAATATCTTAAATTGTGTTCCGAAGACGACAAAGCTTTTACGGGTTTGGAACGACATGGGGGTAAGTGATTAATGACACATTTTCTGTTTGGGGTGGAGTATCCCTTTAAGCTGCTCAAGTTGCCTAAAAATGTAATTGCTAGATCATGTCAATAAAATAATCCAGTTCTTCAATGTTTTTTAAAAAGAATGTTTCTCTCCAAGGCTGCATACAGTGCACAGCATAAATGAGTAACACCCCCTCTGATTAAATATAAAATATGTATTTTCTTAATGATCACTAATATAATTCATAGAAAGATGGCTAAATTGAAATGTATTAAACATATTCTTAATAAAAACAGAGAAATACATGCCATTAATATCTGTAAAATAAGAAACGTAGCCACTTTTTGTTTAAATGATGGATTGCAGAATTTAGTACAACCTAGATTTAATTCAAACAAGTGTAATATTCTAGAACTTAATATGTCCTCAATAACTCTAAGTACACTGCTCTGACACTTCTTGGCATTGAGTGTAAAAGTTCATGACAAATGTTTACATCTGTGCTGTTTAACTCCTGGAGGACGACCTCCTTAAATGCCCTGGTCTTTAATGGGGAGTGTTGCTCAGTTGTACTCATTTTTGACAACATTTGATCACTTTGATAAGAAAATTTTATTTTCTTGAATCATTTTAACATTCTTCTTTGGTAACTGATCAAGCAGACTTGCTGGAATATTATATCTCTAAAAAACCATAACATGTATTCTAAGCAAAGAGTAATTGCTAAATTTGTTATGTTTCAGAGGGGGTGCTGTGCACTGTATATCTGATCAAAAATTATTCCTACGCTTTATAATAACTGTTTTCTATTTGAATATATTTTAAAATGTAATTTATTCCCTAGATGGCAAAGCTGAATTTTCAGCATCATTACTTCAGTCTTCAATGTCACATGATCCTTCAGAAATCATTTTAATATGCTGATTTGGTGCAAGATCGAAATTATATTTGAAAATTTATATTTGAAATTGTAATAATATATCACAACATTACCATTTTTACTTTATTTTTTAAATTAAATAACCTTTATGAAACATTTAAAAATCTTAATTTCAAACTTTTGGCTGCAAGTGTGTGTGTGTGTTTCAACTTCATCTCCATGAGTTACTTAGTTAGTTAGTTTGTTAGTAAGTTTATTTTATTTTTCCCCCAAAATAGTTGATGAAACATTGTGAAATATCATGCAAATATGATGAAATATTTGCAATTTAAATAGAATTTAAAAAGCTACTTGAAAAGAGAAACAGACCTCATAAATGAGCTTCCCAAGCTGTTTTGACAGTCTCACTTGAGATTAGAGTGAGCGTCTGATTTATTCCTGATCATCTGTCATGGTCAGTTTGACTTTAGTGTGGTGGTCAATAGACTTGACGCAAGTCAGTGAGCACATGAGAGCCCCGAATGAACGCAGCATCCCACTCCTGCTTTTGTTCTGATCCAAAGGCAGAGAAAGCTCTGAATCAGGCTGTATTAAAAGTACCCTCTCATTAATAAGTCACTTCATTTCAAAATGAAGAGGAACCTTAGGAAGACCACAGGGGATGAGAAATAAGTCTCCTCCATTTTCTTCAGGCAGTTAACAGCAACTCCTGGGGCATTTCTTTGTCAAATCAAATGCACCAAATTGTTAAATTAATGAATGCGTACTTCACTAAAGCCACGGTTCTACGTGAAATTAAAGCATGACAGAGTGCGCTTTTACTCATGGAGATGAAGCTGAAATTATAAAAGCACATTCTTGCAAAATAAACATGCAGAGAGCTCCAAAAGTCAGAGACTACGATGAAAATTCTGAGATTTAAAATCGAATAAACCAGGGGAAAAACAAAAATAAATAAATAATAAAAAAGGAATATTATGGCACTAAAAACAAATGACTAAATCAAGTTTATTTTAGTATTTGTAACAAAAAAATGATTACATTTGAAATAAAAATAAAATGTATAATTCTACAGTATTTAGCTATAAAATAAAAATATAATATAAAAAACACTAAAATCATATAAAATTTTTAATGTTAATTGTTAAATCAATGCTATAATGCTTATTTGAATTTAGGCATCTCAACATTTCATACAGTATGAAATTTGTGTAATTAATTTTGAGATTAGAATGATGAGAAAGTTCTTAAAGGGGTCATATGATGCGATTTCAAGTTTTCCTTTCTCTTTGGAGTGTTACAAGCTGATTGTGCATAGATAAGATCCCTGAAGTTGCAAAGACTAAAGTCTCAAAACCAAAGAGATATTCTTTATCAAAGTTAAGACTCTGCCACGCCCCCCTAAAACGGCTCGTTCTAACACGCCCCCACATATCTACCTCACTATGTGGAAATATTTGCATAATGCGCCCAAATGTTCACGCAAAGAAAGAAGGCGTGGTTTCAGTAACTGCAGTTAGTGTTGAAGCAGCATGTCAGGGAGACGCTGTGTGTTTCTAGGCGAAAGCAAAAGCACTTTATTTGGCCTTTCGAAAGTAGATTTAGGAATTTAGGAATCTTTAAGATGACTTACAACAGAACAGCAATGTATTTTATGGACGACCGTTTCATGAACCTAGGAGAGGAGGTAATTCTGACTTTGCTACGAAAATCTGGCTCTTCTGAATCATCTACTGTTTTGTTATTAGTTTAAGTATTTCGCTTGTTGGAAGGAGGGACTTTGTAGAAAACAAAGCATTTGAGAGAGACGGGGCATAGAGGACCCACAATAATGTACAGTATTTCAAAAATAATGTGTTTTTTGAACATTAAAGCATGTCAACATATTCTGTTACACCAAATACACAAAATAATGATCTTTAAAAAAAGAATCATATGACCCCTTTAAAGATGACTGGAGGGTTATTACACTTCAATATTTTTACCGTTGAAAATAAAATGATTATTGGATTAAGTGTTATAAGGAATACAGTTGATTTAGTAACTGACTTAATTCAGTTGAGTTCTTTGACATTATTTGATTGAAATGTTTTTCTACACCAGTTTTTTTTTTTTAAGTGTATACAAAAGCAATATTTAATATATAATATTCCTGAAGTTAAATCTGGGCTAAAATTCACGTTTTATCCCTTTAATTTAGCACTTGATGACAGCAAAAGTAATCTGAATTTTAAAAAAGGCAAAATGAGAGAGTCCAAAATTAAATATCCAATATTATCTGATACATACTGAATATACTGACAAAAAAAGAAAAAAAGAAAAACAATTCCTATACAGGATCTACAAGCAATCAATATGTTCCTGATGTATTCTGTTCCTTTAAATGCTTTTTCCAGGGGACATGCAGCAGCAATTTGTTTTTATTTCGATGGACAAGTCGATTTGAACCTGCCATTTAAATTGCCAATTGATTTGAAATGAATTGGAGATTCAAACCAGTTTACCCACCATCCTCTAATACAATCTGCTGGGTAGTCCTTACATAAAAAAA